TAAAAATTATCCAACAAATGACTAGATACACCTCTGTGACGAAAATAGTTTGGTTGATATCTGCGCAAAAACTGGACCAAATGAGAACGAAACGTTAATATGCTGGTAATAAATATTGGTACTACTGAAACGTCATGAAACTATAATCAATTGTGTTTTATCATTTAATTTTACATATATTCATAACTTGTTTTCGGTAAAATAAATCTCAAACTCGCTTATCTCGAAATTTATGAACACCATTTAACAGGAAGCACATCAATATTACCGACTCGTTTTTCTAGACATAGATACACAAGTATCAAAAGATTAAAATATAACAAAAATGCTAAAAATATTCAAGTGATGGCGCACGGTAGTTATATTGTGGACACATACGTAGCACTGTGAAATAAACATCAACTGGGCTTGCAAGTTTCGACAGTCTTCAATACAACAATACAGGTTTGACTTGTTTTATGTAATCTAAGACTTTGTTAAGTATGTATGTGCTTTTACTATTGATTGCCATATTTGTATTCATTTGGTACAGAAATCCATCAGTATCCGAATCAGTTATTTGAATTATTTTCACATAACATAGAGTCTTCTTTGTGTTATGAGAGGGACTCGTTACTGTACATAACTTACCTAATGTTTCTTTGGCTCAAAATTACGAAAAGTAAGCATAGCTGGATTGTTTTTCCTAGATTCAGTGTTGGCAGTCATTCATTGTATGTCTAGTATGGTAGAACAAGTCACCTGATTGTATATTTTCAAATGAGAACAAAACGTTAATATGCTGGTAATAAATATTGGTACTACTGAAACGTCATAAAACTATAATTAATTGTGTTTCAGAATTTAATTTTGTTTTCGGTAAAACAAATATCAAACTTGCTTAACTCGAATTTTATGAACATAATTTAACAATATTACAGACTCGTTTTGCATACAGAAAGATACAAGTACTACAGATTAAACGATAACACAAATGCTAAAAATATAACGCACGATAGTTATATCGGGGACACATACAAAGCTATGAGAAATAAACATCAACTGGGCATGCACGTTTAGATAGTCTTCACGACAACAATACAGGTTTGACTTGTTTTATATGATCAAAAGTATTGTTAAGTATGTATATGCTTTCACTATTTGTTTCAATGTTTTGTATTCATTTATTATACAAATCCATCAGTAGACGAATCAGTGAGTTGAATTATTTGCACAAAATATGAAGTCTGTTTTTGTGTCATGAGTGGGACACGCGACTGTACACGTACATACTGTTTCTTCAGTTCAAAATTGCAAAAAAAGTAAGCAGTGCTTGATTGTTTTTCATGGATTCAGTATTGGCAGTCAATGCTCTGCGTGTCTAGTATGTAGAATGCGTCACCTGAATGTTTACATTAGTATGTATTTATCTTTTCGTCATTTTCTAAAACCTACAATTACAATGGTAATTAATACAGTAGTATTTGACCTCATAACACCTTTACTGCGAGATACTACAAACAGGGAATGAAAGATGTAAATGTGTTTCACAGTTTATGCTCGATAAAAATACATTTTTGTTTCTACACTCACCTACACCTACACTCACGTATTACAATCAATTACCGCTCTCACTATGCGTGTCCATCAATTTTATCAAATGGTTTCTAAGTGTAGTACCCTTAGCAACAAGTCACTACAATAACAACTAGGTTTCTTTGTGTTTAACTGCCGGTATTGTTACAAATGATTTATGATTATGTTTACCCCAAATCAAAGCTTCCTATTCCATTATCTACTTTAAAATATCTAGTCATTGCCTAATTCTACTGTGAATAGGGCATATTTGAAGCAACGGATCTAGTGTTTCACCATGGCAAATCATAATAAATCGCCCTCCAAAGGAACTTCAGTTTCAAAGTTTCTAGCCAGGGGATATCGGTTTTGTGTTGATAATTTTAATCTGCTGCTTGAATTGAAACAGTGGGACCTTATTTGTGGACACATCTTTCATATAATGTTCAAAAACTAGATACAACTATATTTCTCAAAGACAGCAATTAAAGCCCGTGGACTCGTATTTTCGTCACTTAAGTCTGTTATTTGTCTGTCTACTTGTTTCCACATTGGACTGTGATACGATTCTAATCCTGCAGCTTCCCATGAGTCACTATTTCGTGCTTTATCATACACGAATCACTGTAACTGAACACATCACTCAATGTTTAAAATTTATATTTAAAATCTCAATTTATAGTTTGTCCAATCATACATTGCAACATAAATAATTTCTTCACAATACATTTCGGCGAGGTGCCTAGATTGACACGCTAAAGCCTAGGAAAATTTTGTCTTCCAAAATATACCAAATTTGCATATATTCAAAATGGCCGTTTTGTGCATTTTACACATGGAAAAATATAACAATTAGGACATATCTTTAATCTAGATGCCATTTTTAGAATATCAAGTGCTGCGATATGGTGAGGAGTGTGTGAATGTATGTGATTGTGAAACATTTGATTGAATAACAATCTCATTTGCATTAATCCAATACGGCCGTCAAAATAGTATCATTTAAATGTGACAACTCGAGCAGCTCCCGGAGTCTGTTCCTCGTCCCGGCCCTTCTGGGGGAGGGAAGAGTGGTTACGTGTCCCCCCAAGAAGAAGGGACCAGGTGGTACCCCACTTTTCCTTGGGGGTCACCTACCCAGCTAGCGGGGGAAGCAGGTTTGATGCATATGTTCGACATATCGACTTCTACTGCCCTCGCCGGAGGAGAAATCACACCAATGTGGAACCGCCGAACCCACACATAACATCTCTGTCGCACTGATTGCGCCTGTGTATTCAGGTTCAGAGGCATCGCGTAACCATTCCCTGGACTCTCCAGGTGGAAATACACGGTTAAAAGATCCACACTGCAATCTCCACTCCCTGGTACCAACCCCCTGTTCGGGCACTACCAGGGGATCCCCACAAAGCGGGAGCAATCCGACAGGAGGTTGATAGTTTGCTTACAAAGGGCGCTATATACAGGATATGGGACACAGCGTTAAGTCCGGGCTTCTACTCGCAAATATTGGTGGTTCCAAATACTACAACTGAGACTAAAGGTGCCTGTGCCCGTTCTGAACTTAGGCAGACTAAATCAGTATGAGTTTCCTGGAAACGCTGAGCACCATATTATTCTCTGTGTCCTGTTTCTACTGGTCATCCTCGCTAGATTTGAGCGATACTTACCCGCACATACCGATACACACAGTGAGTCAGCGATCCCTCGATTCGCCCAGTTTGGCCAAGTAGTCGAGTGCGGGGTGCTCCCCTTCAGGTTTTGAATTGCTCCATACGTATCCACCAGAGTGTGGAAACAGGTGGTGCTACTGCTGCGCCGTTACACATAACATCAACGTGTACCTAGATGGCTTGATGCTACACAACCAAACAATGCGTGGTTAGTCAAACAGTAAGGCTAACATTAGATTTTCTAGACCTGTTGGGCTTCCTAGTAAATCGAGCAAGTCCCACCCTCAGCCAACACAACAGTTGGTGTTCCTGGCCAGGGAGTTCGAATCATTGAAATGATGTCAGCGGTTTGCAGGGTAGTTCCCCCAGGCCGTGTTACACAGTCGCCCATTACAGCACACGTTTGTTGCAACACCGAGCTCTCTTACGGGGACTGGAGAGCCGAGTAACACTCTCATATCAAGCAAGGGATGCCTTGCCCTGGTGGTCGGCAATTGCCAACCTCAGACAGGGGGTCCCCTTGGAACCACTCGCCACGGCTATGACTCTGGAAACAGATGCCTCCCGCACATATTGGGGAATGCACATATGGGACGAACAAGCCCAATGGAAAATATGGCCCCTGCATTAGATTCAGGACTGCCATATCAACTGGCTGGAACTGAAAGAAGTGCGCTTAGCCCTACTTCACATTCTTCCCACAATTCGAGACCACAGAGTCTTGATTCGCATGGACAACACAGTTGTGGTCTCCTATACCAGATCCCCATCGTTGTCAGTCCTAGTGGAGCAAATTCTCTTTTGGCACATGAAATATAATGTCGAGTTAGCGAGAAATGTCCAGGAGCGAGAAACAGACAAGCGGACGCCCTCTCGTGGCGGCAAGGTCTGGTTTCCACTACTGTTGGAAATGTTAGTCGAAACACCAGAGGTGCTTCTGTATCTGCTCTCCCAACCGGACAACGCACTGCATTTGAGCCCAGCAATGTACCGCTTACATGCATCGAGACTCTCAGATATTTTCTGAGTGGACTGTCAACGCCCTGGCCAGGGCGAACAGGGATCCCACCAACATAGCCTACGCCTCGAAATGATGTGCTTACACTGATTGTTGTAGTGGAGACCCAGACAGCTGACTTTTCGGCCATCGTTTGAACGAAATGGACTTGCGATTGTTGGCTATAGGTCAGCCTTGTCATCCAACATTGGGATTCTCTGAGGACGAGGCTAGCCGGGTGTCCTACCATTAGGAGACTGTTTACTGTTTAATCAGGGGCCTAGACCCCGAAGAGGGAACCAACCAATTGGAATTTATCGGTTGTGTTGGCCGTTCTAAGCAGAGTCCCCTTTGAATCTCTCAGATCAGCACCATTCAAAGTTTTTACGTGGCAAACAGTCTTTCTACTCACCCTCGCCTCAGTTATTAGGCATCGGGCTAATTTGTTTGTTTGTTTGTTTATCATTTATTCATTCATTCATTAATTCATTTATTCATTTATTCATTAATTCATTCATTTATTCATTTTTTTTTTATTTTACAGGAACTATGTTTGTATTACTTTCATTTTGGGCTCTGATCACCATAACACTCATATCAAATGCACAACATCACCCTGGAAACCCTGCTAATGGCACTTGCATTGATTGTCGTGATGAAATGTACGAAAATGGAGTATGGCACGATGTATGCACTGAGGATTTCACCTGCCCAATTCACATAGCAGACATTGAAAATACAATTGAGGGGAAAGAAGTTAGGTTTCACGCAAAATATTTTTTTGGAAATGCAGCATTCCTACCTGGTACACGTCACTATGAGTATGACGCAATACTCGCATCGCAAATTGACTCCATAGAAAAGGGTGACATAGTATGTTATTTTGTTTCAACTATCCATTTGTTTTCATCGCGCAATCAGATATAATTTTTCTAAATCAAGTTAAACATTACCTATGTTTATATACAACAAACGAGTAGTAAGTTTAGTGGAATATTACTGTAAATAACCATATTTTTATATTCAATATGAGTGTTTGTGTGCAATAGAAATAGGGATTTCTTACAGGCCGGGTTTGTTAATGTGTGATAAAGCAATGATTCCCATTTAGGACTTTTCCGGATTCGGTTTGGACAAGTTGGGTACTAAACCAGATCTCACGGCATTTGTTGAGCGTTTTAAATTATGTCATAACTAACGAGGGAAATTCACTGCTAAAAAATCATACTGCATAACAACAACATTTTCTAATATTTGTGACCTAACAAAGCTGTTATTAATATTCTATTACCTAAAATAACGTTACATATATCGACGTACATTATTTTACAGGGAACTGGAGAGGTACCAACTGACAATTGTCAACTATGTGATGTCTATGCAATAGAAGATGCGTGGGTTCAATGTGTTTGTAAAATTGTGGTGAGTACACTACACAAATCATAAAAGCATCAACACTATGGCAATTGAAAGGTGTTTAGCTAGCGTTAGAGGAAAATAAATGGTATAATATCCAAACCATTGCAACATCCAACATGCTATGATGGTTTGATTATTGTATCATTTATTTACTCAATTGTTTAAATATATAATTATATATTTTACAGTACAAACTAGAACTACTGAACAAGTTAATAACTGCTAAGATGGATTGTTTGAGTTTGATATAATAATACTACCTACAATAAGACATTAACAAATTAACTGAATTGTGTGGTATGTAAGAATCATTTTTGGGGAGAACATTGTAATTGTTTGTTTGTTAATTTGTATCTACATTGGCTCCTCTGATTCCATAAATCTATGGTTCTTTTCACATACAGGATTGCCCATCAGTCATCGCCGAGCAAGTAGAGTTAAAAGGGTCACTTCCTGAAAAAGATACTACACGCGATAGAATCTGTTTGACTCGCAGAGATGATGAGTATACCATCTATACCTGCGCATATTACTCTGATGATTCTGATTTTGTTGATAATCTAATTCAAGCTAGTACATAGAAAAAATGGAATTTGTTATCTTTGTGCCAGTTATCAATAGTTATTTTAATTGGGTAGTGTTAAAGGAATTAAAATAATCTCGAAGTTGTTCCATCTGACTGACTGTCATTACAAGTCCCCAAGCCGTACACTTCGGCATACTGAATATGTTTGATGATAATTATCGGTATCTGTATAGTGATTAGGCAAGTGGAATTAAAATTAAATTAATAATTAATATTAAATATGAAATCGTGATCATTGATCAGAACCTTGAAATCTATTGGCAATAAAGTGTTTTTATAGTTCTAGATCACATTTATGGTGATTAATCTAGATTTACATGTACCCACCATTTGTTGATGGAAACTTCTATAATAGCATGCACATAAATAATCAGATTAACATGTAAAGTAGATGTAATAGGGAGCTAACTGTGCAATAAATGGTGTTATTATGACATTATACTTCATCTGTAGTAGTTATTAATTCTGACGTGAATTTAGATATAAGTACAAGTATTCACGATCTAGATGATAGTGTCATACATACACTGTCCAAATGTTGCAACATTATAAATATACCAACCGCATGTGCATACAAGGGTAGTGGTTTACAGAAATAAACATGTAGTCGCAATATGATGTGATGTGACAAATGTGTGATTTGCATTACTTACATAGACACGGGTCTAGTGGTTTACAATTTATATGTGAATACAATTGAAATGGAAATCATATAATAGTTTGAGTATTATTTAGAATGAGATTATTATCTACCCTGTAACATATAGCTTAGGTTATTATAACTACGACGCAATAACAATTAATACCAAAACAATTGGTAACATCATTAGTGCTCTGACAATGCTGTTGCGTATTTTCAATATATCCAAGGCAATGTAATGCAAATAACTGAAGCACAAAATGTTCAACATAGTTATCAGGAAACACACCGTGATAGTGTCATTGAGATGCTTTAGATGTTGTAAGACTGTCCCGACTGATTAGGTACTGTGTTTCAAAATATTATTAAATAATAAACACAACACAACTTATCCTGTAGTGTTACCTTATGAAGTGTTGTGTTGTATTTTTAGACTATGGTGAGTCTATATAAGACTTGCTACAAACCACCTAGTATTATAGCGTTCTCACAGTTTAACATCATGGCAATACTTTTTCACTTTACATCGATTTCATATTTTATTTTGTTACTGCTTTGTTTATTTGTGGAATTTATGTGAGATTATGATTTTTTAACATTATAATTCAGCCACCTTCTATCTGATTGTCATCTATGTACTTGTCCATGTTGAGAGGTATTGCTCTGGAACAGCATTATTTAAAACAAAATGACCTTGTTATTGTAACGTATTGACAACCCCGTATAACAATGCGTGGATAATAGGGAGCAAGTAAGACTAGATACAACTCGGTTCAATGCTAAAGTGCAAGTGATTTATTTATAGCAATGACTCATGCGCCAGATGGCAGGATCAGATACAATGTTTACATATCAGATAACACCATTACATCTCTCCTTATCTTAATACAAGTTCAACACGTTTCGCATTTCAGTATCTAGAGTCTGCATTGTTCCAAAACTCAACTCGTCGTTGCTTGCTAACCAGACTGTAAAATGTTTGAAAGAATAAAAAGTTTAAAACAACAAAACTAACTATGAGATAAGGATAGACTTTTCCTTTCTCGATATACTAAGTCTGGAGGCTAATTCTGCTCCACCACAATGACTTAAGTACTTCCTATGATGCTAATTATCTCTACTATCTGACTTTATTTCATTTTTCCCATCCCAAGTATTTTGGGGGATTGCGTCGTCTAGTCGGGTATCTCCTTTCTGGTGTTGGAAGTTTATCATCAGCCATGTGCGATCGTGGTGTCCCGGGGATAACATTGGTACAAGAGGAATTTCCTCTTCATCCTCAGAGTTGGCAGTATCTCGATCGCTGACGCGGTGATCAATTCCAACTTCAGGTATTAATTTGAAGAATGACGAATTGTGCGTAATAATGTGTGCACCGCGTTTAGCTGTTATCAAACTTTCTTTCTGTACTGTGACCTCATATGGCTTGGCGAGAAATGGCGTTTCCAGTTTTCCTCTCTTTGTATTTTAACGCGAACGGAATCACCGACTCTTATTTCCGACGTTTTCGCATTTCGACTCCTATCTGCGTATTTCTTCATCTTTTGTTTTGAAACTTTATCCCGAAGTTGTATTTTTCGCCGCTTCTTAGAAGTATTCAATGTCGGCAATTTTATGTTTATTGGATGTTGAAATACCTCTGTAGCTGGGCATACACCAGTAGTGCTGTGTGGTGTCGCACGATAATTTCTCAGAAATAAGTACATTTCGTGTTTCCACGACTTCCCTTCAACTTGCGCTGTGCGGATGGCTTTTCCTAGCGTTCTCATCATTCGTTCTGCCTCACCGTTTGCCTGTGGCCATAGGGGAGTAACCTTACAGTGTTTAAAACCAAGATGTTTTGCAAAGTCTCTAAAATCTTGGCCCTGGAAAGGCGTCAATTGTCTGATGTTGCGACTTCAGAAATTCCGAGAATACTTTGTCGAGTATCGGGATTACGATTCACGATGAAGTAGAGCGTATTATTTCAACAACAAATCTGGAATAGTTATCTGTTATCACGAGCAAATAATCTCCACTGGGGAACGGCTCACAGAAGTCCATCGACACGTGTTGCCATGCGTAGTCGGGAAGTGACGTCATTTGTAATGGTTCACGTCTATTCTGTGGTGTGGCGGCTTGACAGGCTAAGCAGGTTTTGATTTTATTTTTCACCAGCTTGTCAATGTTGGGAAAATAAAGTTTTTCTCTCAGTAATTTTGACTACACCCTGGAGTCCTTCGTGGGCGAGACTAACTGTCCGCTTTTGTAACGATTTCGGAATGATAATTCGAGATCCGCATAAAGTTGATCTTGAGTTGACACCAGTGTTAATGATTTTATTTCTTTTCGCAGCATTTCGAAAGACATTCGGTCGATGTCTGTATAATCGATGTCTGAAGAATTCGTGTGGTCGTACCATCTACCAGTTTTAATCGCCATGGTCACGGCTTGCAGTGTAGGATCAGATTTCGTTTCTTGTTTGATTTTATCCAAGGTTAGCGCCGTGGGTGCTGCATGACCAGCGATAAAGTTGATATATTCTTCAGTGACTTTCTCTTGTCTCCTGTTTGGCGTGTTTTTCGTGTTCGGGTGTCTCGACATGTAATCAGCTGGATTGTCTTTTCCCGGCATATACACGATCTTGAATAAATAGTCTTGTAGCCGTAGGGACCATCTCTCGATTCTGGCTGGCGGTTTAGCATTTTGGTTGTTGTAGAGACGCTCTAGCGGTTTGTGATCGGTTACTATGGTTACAGGTTTGCCATATACGTATAAATAGTAATGCTCACAAGCCCATACAACAGCTAACGCCTCGCGTTCTGTCTGAGAATATCTTTGTTCGACTGGAGTAAGCGATCTGCTCGCGTAACACAGAACTTGTGGAGCGTCTTCATCACCATTTTTCTGAGTGAGCATTGCTCCTAGTCCAACAGGGCTTGCGTCTACTACGATTTCAGTGTCTCTATTCGAATCAAAGTATGTCATGAATGAATTACATGTTAATCGATCTTTGATCGTGTCTAGCGCATTGCGATGAGTGCTCGACCATTCCCATACCGCGTCTTTTACGGTTAATAATCAAGGGGGTTGCGTAATAGTCGCTAGGTCGGGTATGAATCGTGAGAAATATGTTACCATACCGAGTAAACTTCTTACCTCAGTCGCGTTTGTGGCCTCGGCATTCTTGACAGCCGCGACTTTCTCTGGGTCTGGTGACATACCTTACGCTGAAAACCGATGACCGTAGAATATGAGTTTTGATTTGTTGAATTCACATTTTCGTATGTTTAGAGTAAATTTTCTTTTGCATAGTCGTTGGAATACAGCTCTGACTGTTTTGATGGTCTTCCTGCGTTTTGCTGTGTATGAGTATATCATCGCCAATGTTCTTTGCGCCTGGTATACCTTCGCTTGCTTGTCTATTAGCATTTTGGAATATTTCTGATGCCGATGATATTCCAAAATTAAGTCGCTTACAACGGCGTAGAGCAACGTGTGTACTAAACGTAGTAATGTACCTCGATGCCGGTGTTAGCTCGAGTTGATGATAACCTTGATTAAGAACAAGTTTGGAAAACACTGTGGAGTTGTTCAGATCTTGAATGATTTCATCAGTCGTTGGCATAATGTGTCGCTCGCGTTTGACGGCTTCGTTCGCGCGTCTCATGTCAATACATATCCGTATATCGTCTAGATTCCTTGGTTTAGGAATGACAAAATTGGCAATATCCATGGTGTTGCTTCGATTATGTCGGCGGCTTACATTTCTGCAATTTTCTTTTCGACTTTTTCGCGAATATGAAACGGTATGCGACGATGCGGTTGGGCTACGGGCTGAACAGTCTCGTCAATGTGTAGCTTTACTTGGAAATCTGTCATTTTGCCTAGGCCTGTGAATAAATCATTCGCTCACTAGCTTGTCCGTTGCGGTCTGTCCTCCGACTTGTTTAATTATTTATTCCAAATCTTCTGCTGTCTGAAAACTTAGTAGCGATTCCCCGAAATTACCGTTGTGGTTGACGACATGAATTAATATATTTCATAGCGATTTTCTAGCAGCATTCGTATTACATTTGATGTCAGTCCGGAATTCACCGAAGGTTTCGATTGGATATTGACTCTTGTATGGAAATACTTTTGTATAAGTCCGTTTCAACTTGACTTTCAAAGTCACTTTCATCCAATATGTTGATTCTGCACCAGTATCAATCAAGAAATTAATTTTCTTACTGTGACTAGTGATGTCAATTGACTATCCTCTACA